ACTTGAGTTATCTTGCTAACAAGCCACAAACACAAAAGGTGCACTAGCGTGATGCAAGGACCCCCACGAAGCCGAAACTTGTACTTGACTTCGGCCTCAACAGCGGTAATCTGCCTGCCAAAAATCATGGACGTCGAATCATGCCTTCCAGAGTTATATCGCAAAATCCGCAGTTCCCCACACTCCGGCGAGACAATTTCATAGTCCTTCTGACGAAGACAATAAGGATACAGCAAATGGGTGTTCGAAAACACAACGATAACAGTTAAAAATGGACTAATATTGGTAGTTCAAGTATTTAGTCTTGAGAGTGACCCCCTAAGTAACGAGTTAATATTCAGACAAATTAAAGATGTAGACTATACAATGTTATTTTGTATTCCTGGGATGTCTGGCAAATGGTTGGCCACGCTTCACGGAGCAATGTATGGCACAGTATGCAGACACTGAGCGTAAACCGTGGGTCGGTGGCAGTACTAGTGTTATCTTGCTTTTTTTTGAGGCCTAGTAAATGATGCCGGGCGCTCTGATTACCTGGCATTCCGTGTTGTTTTTCATTTTCGTCCTTTTCGACATTCACTAAGTTAGATTTGATGACCGATGTTTAAATTTGAAGCCCCTAAAGCCCCAAACAGACACCATGTAAATAGCCACGGCTTGACGTTTTATATCAAAGCACGTCACGTTGCCAAATACCTTGAAAAGTCCTTTGCTGTGTGAAGAGGCAGACCACGAAACAGCGCCGCCCCGACCCCTCCGTCCACGACTCTCCTGACGACGTCCCGGGCCGCGACCGCCCAGTCCTCGGGCGAGAACTGCGAGATCTCCGCGGGGACGTACACGGGCGGGAACCCCTCCCTGGGCGGCGGCAGGACCTCCGGGACGCCGGGGCTGCCCGATCCCACCAGGAACCGCCTTCCCCGGAGTGGAGCCGGCGGCTGGCTGCTCCAATCCGCGGCAGTCTCCAACAGGGTCGGTGTCGCCGCCGCGGCGCGAGGCTTGGAGCAGAATGAGCGGTAAGAACATGCAGAATAGACGCGTTTCAGGTGGTGAATCCACGATTTGATCATTTTGGTTGTTGAATGAAAAGCCGGGACCTGTTTTTCGAGGTAGCCTCCATGTCGGGACTTTCTGGTTCATTCATATGCAAATCATACCTAGCCTGGCTGGGGGGCAGGCCCATAGCACACTGGACCCAGTAATTTAAACCTAAATGTGCCGCTGTAATACCTTAGAAAGCCACTAGAATGCCCAAATTCGAACTTAAACTTCATTTTTCACACTGCAAGCTATCTACAAAAACTGTACAAAAAACACCCACAGCAAAAAAAGGTTATCCCGTCTAGTCACATTCCGTCACAGAAAAGACCACAGCAGCTAAAAAAAGCAGATATTTCGCTGAAAACCACACCAAATACTTACTGTCCAAGCATCTATGTCCCACTCAAAAATCAAGACCACAGCACGAGATATCATACACATGCACCCCGCTGCAGCACATTACAAAACCGCTGGAGTACCCAAAATTGACCTTGACATTTCTTTTCCCAACCTCATCCTACCTACCAAATATCATAAAGATACATGCACCACACCCCAAGTTATAACCGATTACATAATCAGCAACCCCTATGTCAGTGGTGTAACTTAAACTTACAACCTTCTGACGAAGGTAATTAAGGGGGCACACCCCAGTTTATTTGGCGTCTCTATTGGAGGCTGCACACCCTCAAATCTAGCGACCGTATCTGGCGTGGAATAATTCGGAATGAGAATAACTGTATATTGGACGAAAGGATATCTCTTCAGCTACAAGACCAGCTGAGTTTGGTTTCTTCAACCTTTTTAAGTTTGGTAAAATCAACGGAAAAAACATTTTTTCACTCCAAAATTAATGCCCAAAATTGCGAATTTTCGCGTAGGATAATCCCATAGAAAAAATTTTCCGGCAGAAATGACTGATGCTGGCAGAAAGACCCAAGCCTTGACTATACTCGAGTAAATTATAAAGAAAATTCTAGTACTGTAATTTTCTAAACAGTCCACGGCGCGAGGGGTTGCAAATGCACCCCTACGAGGGCGCAGAGCGAAATCTAGGTCAAACGGGCGGATTACACTTGGCGCGCAAGGATACCCGGAAGTAAGGTTCGGAGCCAAAAGAAATTTTCACCCCAAAAACACCACTTCCTACACTCTTCAGCCATGTTAATGTTTAATGACACTTCGTGGCAGTTTATGAGAAATGTCGCCTCAAACTTGGACCCTCAAAACCCTTTCGTCACTTTTTTACAACGGACTATCACCCCCCGGTCGCGCAAGAACTGGGGTGTGCACCGTTAAGAAGGATGAACACCCGTTGGTTGCGGTAGGTAAATTTAAAGACATCGTTGTCGGGCAGGTTTATTAGGTTGCCATAAAGTTGTAGGCCCGAGGCTATTGACAGGATGATTCTGTCGATAGAGGGAAAATCGCACTATAGAAACATGAGGAAACTATTCTGATATAAACACTCTCAGTAACTACTGGCATCACTATGTTGGTCTGGTTTACAAACGGTAATGAAGTTATTTTTACACTCCGTGCACTACTAGTATACTATATTTCACAGATTTTACCTTATCTAACCGAAAGTATATTCATATGACTTTTGGTTCTTAAATTTCTTAAATTTTGGTAACGATATGGGCCTTTGGTGCCTGAAATAAAGAATAAATAAATAAAACAAAATATACTATTGTCAGGATGACACTGTCAAATGTACAATTTTCAGCCGGGATGGACTAACTGGACTTCACCACAAGGCTAACAATTTTCTTCCATAGGAACGACGATGCTGCAGGACGCCATGGAGGAAGGTACTGGACCTCGCCCTCAGATCGACAACCTCCACAGCTGCATTGACACCATGGGAGAGGGATGCCAACATGCGGTCGTAGCGGTCAGATGCAGCACTACCATCATTGATGATGGGCCTGGTAAAAAGCTCGAAGTGTGCGGCAGGGTATGGAAGACCCTGAAGAAGAGGCTGGCTGTTCCTGCCTGTTTCAGGCTGTGCCCACCTCGATGAGAGAAGTGTTTAAAAGAGAAGGGGCCGGCAGTCCTGAAGTAGCCTGGCCTAAATAAGGTTGGAGTCCAGGCTAGAAAAGATGCTGGGAGATATAGATCCCCACTGTTCCTGACATGCTAAAGTTAAGGCTCAGACTCTCTTTTGGTTGGGAAGCAAATCAGAACTGTTCCTCCTTTGTTCCGATCCCTTTCTCTGCTATTGTTATTTAATACGGAATGAACCACAGGGGATGGTCTTCAGCACCAAGGACAGCCGCAGTGCCTGTAGTGTGGTTGAGACTCTCCGTGCTTTGATCGCTCTCGTGTGCTGAACAAATTCAGACTCTTGTTGGTCTCACGGTTCAAAAGATACAACAAAAATCCTGTATTGGCCCTTAAACGGATCGCACACTAGGATTGGCATCCTGTTTTTTTTTTACGTTAACTGTTATAACTGTTAACGTTAACTGTTACATGTAACTTAATTACTTGCCTGAAGGGCCCCGCCTTTGTCGACCTCCTTGACCCCCACCCTCTGTCTGTGTCTTAAAAACTCTGACTGATAAAAAGTAAACTCTGACATGACTTTTACCGCTAACAACATATTCACAGTTTCCCTCCCAAACTTTGAAGATGTCTATGCAGTGTGTCGATCCGGTGCTAACGTTAGAGGGATCTGCCAGTCGGTCATTTTCTCAATGTCGTATTAAAATGTTCTTTAAAGATGAGTAGCTTGACAGATTTCCTACCACATCTGCTAACAGAAGATACAACGTGTCACAGAAGTGTTGTGAGAAGAAAGTTAGGCGCAGGAACGAAGGCTTTTTGGGGCACCAATTTGGTGTCATTTCTCAGGCACAGTAATGAGGATACGGAAGACAGACTGCGAGGCCCCCATCTTGCGTCACGATCCACGATCGGTCAGGCAGGGGTTGCCATCTTGTCGTGCACATGCAGGGCGGACTAGGACAAGTCATGATCACCACAAAGACAGCCCTCAGCCTCGCGGCTGGCGTCTGTGGCACGTTATTTCTGGGGTACTGCATCTACTTCGATCACAAGAGACGAAATGACCCCGGCTTCAAACAGAAGTTGCGAGAAAGTAAGTGTTCGTTTCTTTCCCCATGTCGCCGGGAGGGAGGGGGGCGCAGGCTGAAAATTCGTAAATTCACGGTAGTACATTCTAAGTAAGCGAATTAAAATCTGTGGTGTAGGTTATTACATCGAGAAGTGAGCAATATGATGATGACTTGATCCGTTGATGTTTACTTCCTTCTCTCGCGAAATACATAGAACGGCGTTCTACGTTCTGTCACCGTATGATATCATGACATCAGGGGTCATGAAAAAACGTGCACCCCTCGCCCCCCCTCCCCACCCCCTATCATTTCTATGTACAGTCTCCGCTTTACTTCTGCCCCTGTATGCCTTTTACACTAATGCTGAGAAGGCCTATACTTTATAACAACACTTCCCGTTGACCTGTTTTGCTTTATATATTATGCAGGGAGAAAAAGGCAAAAAGAGACCAAGAAAACACAGACCACGACAAAGGTAAGCACTGTTGAATCATGTCATACATATATAGACCCTTCAGCTATACTAATAGCAAGACAAGTGCAGAATACAACAGTTGTGAACTCAACCTTCCAAGTGATTATATTTTTGATGTAACAGTTATATGGTGTGGTAGTTGACAGTGTGTGTGTGTTTTGTTGTTGTGTTTTCTTTTTTTATTTCTTTACTTCATGGTTCACCACAAAACAAGGCTCATGAGAGCCACCCAAATGCTTTGGGTTATTGTACAGCCAGTGAGGACAGATGTTTGTACTGGGCAAGACCTTAGACTGTTATATTTGCTAAGAGTATGACTGATTATGATAAAGTGTTGGATGTGATTGTGTTTCAGATCCCAGACCTGAAGGACACAGAGGCTGTGCAGAAGTTCTTCCTGGAGGAGGTCCAGCTGGGAGAGGAGCTGTTGGCACAGGGTCAGTTCTACATTGTGTAGTGGATCAAGTACAGGAGTGGCATCTTCACCTTTTAATGGTCACTGTTGGCCTTAGAAATAGATGTGACTCAAATGTATCTGTAAATGGTGCTTGTAGAGATACATATTGCAGTTGTATGCAGGCAGTAAACATAGATTAGATGCTTTCATACATCTATGTGTTGTATGAAAACATAAGTTTGATACTTGTTTTTCTTCTTCTTTTGACACAGGTGACTTTGAGAATGGTGTCGAACACCTGACCAATGCTGTGGCCGTATGTGGGCAGCCGCAGCAGCTGCTGCAGGTGCTTCAGCAGACGCTGCCTCCACAGGTGTTCCAGATGCTCATCGCCAAGCTACCAAGTGTCAGTCAGGTAAGATAGGATGCTAGTTTTGGAACAGTTGTCAACAATATTCAGTTGAGGTGAACATTTGACAGTCAGTTAGAGGAAGTTCTTTGTAAATCTATGATGAAGCTACAAGAAGTTAAGATTCTATGTACTGGGTAAGACCAGTTATTTCATGGAAACCCTGGAGTAGCACAACTTGAATCACCAGAGAAAGAACAGAAGGGTAAGCTACTAGTAAAATGCCATTCATTCATTATGTATGATAGTCTACTTCCTGCTCCTGTTATCAGGAAATGACATCTTTTTTTTCTGCTTTACAGAAATTTGCATCAGCAATGGCAACAACAACCATGGATGATGAACTGGAGTAAATTTTCAGGCCAAAAGATGTTTGTATTGAGTAATTCTAGTGATGTTACTTGTGCCTGTAGATATAAATGGCTTACATTTTTCAAATATAGTTCTGAGATCTCTCTTCCATGTTCTAGGCTATATACTGTAGTTTGTTCTGCTACAGAGTTAACTCCTTCTGTACATGCTATATCCTAAACATGTAACAGCTAGGTTTTGTACATTATGAACAAAATCCAAGTCAAGTTTGTGGCTATTCCTAACCCCTGTAAGGTACATATAGTATTTGAATCTGGCATATATCTCAACTAAGTATACAACATCTACCTGTGGTTTTATCAAGTTACTGTAGTTCTCGAATTAAATGGAGTATGTACTATGAAGTTTAAACTTTTAGTTTGCAATTTTTCGTTGCAGAAATTGTGTAGGGCACAAGGATGTGACGTGTCATATGTATGTTTTGATACGAGATTTGTTTAGACAGTTGGCAACATACAACTTATTACAAAAGGCAGCTTACAGCACAAATGTGCTGAAATCCAGTTTTGCTTGTTATGAATCCTGCGGTGAACCTGAACTGTGTTGGATTTACATTCATGCTATTTCTCAAGAACTGTTCAAGAGGCAGGATTTGTCTGCTTAAACATCTTCAGCTTTGTGTAATACATTAATTTCCAGGTGAATCTTTGTTGATTGTTGTCAGATCTGTCTCATAATAGTGAGCAATAAATTCATTGCAAATGAATGAGGTCAGACATTCGAAGGAGATTCAGTCTGATTGAACCTCCTTGGACAAACTGGTTTTGGTGTTGAAGTGTTCACTTATTTTCTCGTAACCCCATCTGATTACAGGTATTGAAATAAAACCTGGTGAAACCCAGCATTATTTTAACTCAAAGACTGATCATCCCTTTCATTCCATTATTTGCTCTCTTTTTTGTGCATCTTGCGAATTCCCAAAGTGAGAGAATTCCAAGGTACAAGTAGATGAACATAGCTGGACTGATAGAAGTTGAAGATGTCTAATCTTGTTGTTTTGGGATAGGAAAATTGGGCTAACATAGACATGTTGAAATAATGAGTGTTGAAGTTATATGAAACAGACAAGTGTTATTTCACTGTTAAGAAACAGTTCAGGGTGTCCGTACCTGATTTTATGTCAGGTCATGTGCTACAGTTATCTTTTACATACAAACAGTAAAGAATGGCAAAGTTCTTCTATAACCTTCAACTTGTTAAGTATTACAACAGCATCAAGTGCTTTGTGTATAAAGTTACATGTTGGTGATTTCACAGAATTCTCTGTATTACTTGTACATCCATTGTAGATTATTGAAAGAGTTAAAAGGCGAGGTATTAAATAGCTTGTACACAGTACAACTTATAGACTAAAGCTGACATCAGGTTTTTGTGGACATGTAATTATAGTTTCCTATTATGGAAAATTTTTGCATTGTTCAATAAAAACAGTTGTTACATTGGATTTGAGACGGTGAGAATTCTGGCAAATGCTATACATTACCTTACCAAGCTCTGTGTAGTGTAAATTAATTTCATTTTGCAGTTGGGAAAATAAAAGACATTCGCAGTTTTTAAAGGTAGAGGTAGAAATGCAAGATTGAACATGTGTATTCAGTGTGATGAGTTTGCAGGCATAATACCACTGAACATAATTCACAATGTGCAGTAGCCTGCACAGTGTAAAGGTCAGGACCTGACACAGCCATGCTAACCTGTACATTGATATACAACTGAAACAAGAAGAATCTACAGACAAGAAAAATACTTATTTTTTTATGGCCACCATCTAGAACAGCCCTAGGTACACAACAGTTCCTGGAAATTCTACAAGCCACAAAATATCCAAAACCGGTTTCTTTGTCATCTAAAAGGGTACACCAGTAACCAACACAAACTGACTTTTATTTGAAACACCACAGAATAGAATGTTAACATGCAGAATAAATAACATTAATTCTTACATACAATTACTATGTCTGTCTCACATGCAAAAATTGTGATTGACACTTTGTTCTAGATTCTTATGGATTTGCTCTTCAAAATACAGTACAGTAAATACCGTCAGTAATTCTACATAGTATATTGTAACAGCAGGTACATTCAGGGGCGTCTGTCACATTTAATATTCAAATATCGAAAATTGTTTACAACAAAGTTAATGCAAGCTACCATTTCTACTTATCATCAATGTAAAATTTACTTTTCACATTTTTACAAAACACCAACAGTTTACGCATGAAAACATTTTCATGAGAATGTAGCAGCAAAAGATCATGAGCTGAGTTTGCCATCCAAGTCTTTCCTACCCTTAGATTTAGTAGCTACCAATAAAGTAAAATTTACCAGCCTGATCTTGAATTAATCTGTCTTTCCAACCCATGCAACTTCACTCAGTCACTTAACCTTGGCACTCCAATTTTAATCATAATGCCATTTCTCTGACACCTTTTTTTTAGAGTGATACAGGTTAGCTCTGGCTTCCTCATTGTCTTCTCTTGACCTTTCTGCTTGTTGTGGTTTTCTTGGTTTCTCCCCCACCAAACATCTTGGTGAAGAACTCTGACATGTCTGGTAGGTCCTTGTTGGGGGACAACATGTTCATGGACTGCTGCATCTCCTGAAAGGCATCACATGATACAGTAAGGACAATTTCAGGATAAAACTAGAAGTACTCTTGTACAAGCTTTTGTTCCTAGGCTACCCTATAAATGTTGTAGCTTTACCTCAAAGAAAGTACCGGTACATGAAATAACATCAAGGCAGTAGAATGGAAAATGATGATCAGGGTCAACTATATCTTCCTTTAAGACTTTGATAAATGTTTTAATCTACATTGTGTGTACAACAATACAATATGACATGGAGATCTACTAGTACATAGGCAGAATGAGTAAGCCCATATAGAAAGGTATCAACATCAACTCACCCTCTGCATCTCAGGGTCATTGGTGTTAATCATCTTGGGCAGGATGAGGAGGAGGACCAGTGGGAGGACCATCATGATCACCTGTGGGACAGGGAACATCAAACTGTCATCAAAACACGATCACATCTGGGACTGAAGCAGCAGAGGACGGTTGGCTAGGCACTGGGCAGCAGTAATGTACATCATACTGTTATAATATTCAACTAGCAATAAAAAGCCACCTTTGAATGTGCAAAATCTTCAAGCAAGACAAAAACTCAAAACCGTAGATAAATGAATGAATGATGCCAATTTAATTACCATTTGTATAATGTCACAAGAAAGAACCATGTCACATCTAACCTATACCCACCATATGGTTGAAGAGGAAGTCTGTTATCCTCCACTGCTCTCTTCTCTCAAAGTAGTTGATCCTGCCCTTGGACTTGAAGCGCAGGGGGTAAGGCAGGGGGTCGTTCTTCTGAATCTGGAGAAGGTTGACTCTCCTGGCCCTGATCTTGCCCTTGGCAGTGACGTCCACTCTTGCCGGTTCAAAAGACCAGGTTGGGCTGACTACTTCCACCACAAAGGACCCTGACGGCACGTACAGGGCAAAACTGCCATCCATCCTGTCAGGACATGAATACACAGGACCAAAGTCAGCACAAAATATACCAGACAAGTATTTACCTGCTGACAATCACTACCATTACACATGTTCATGTCTCTTTCTCCTAGGAACAGCACAGATTTGGCAACAAATTCCGCACTAAAATATTTTTCTTGCAGCCTCATATAATGAACGTACATGTATTTGCATCTGGTCAGAATACCAGAAATGATACAATCCTCATTATTTGTAGCATTGGTGCAATCAAAGCCCTTACCTGAAGAACCCAAGATAAGCCCCGTGGTCTACAATGATCTTGGCGTCCCCTATCCACTCTAGCGGCTTGAGCCCGGGCACCATCGCCTTCCCCTCGACTTTAAAAGTTGTCGGCGCTGCGCCGGTTCCATTTTCCTCTTCCCAGCCTGCTGATGACGACACTACCCCTCCCCCTGCCGACACGTCTTCTTGCGATAAAACACGTACAACCACTGATAGGTTCATTAAAACCAACAACATAAGGTAACCCCGTCCTCCTTTCGTAATCTCCATTGTCATCAAGCAGTCACGAACTTGTTTTAAGTTAAAAATTCAGTCCAAACAGCGAGTTCCTTCTTTCACAGGCCGCAGGCCGGTCACAGGATGGTTTGGAACTGCATGATGGGATTTTTTTTAGGCACAGTCCACTGCAGTTGTGGGGGTGACGTGATATTATTCGGAAACAGGTGCATATGTACGTTTATGCTAAGTTATGAGTGTCTTAAATGACTATGTCTTTTCGTAATGAAGTCTTTCGAGACGTTTTCTTTCTTTCTTAGTTCGACATCAAGTGCTCTGCTTGGTGATGAAAATGACGCTGCAAATTGGCACAAATAGTTTGATCATACGATTTTGAGTCAATGGTACTTAGTATTCGGAAACTTGACAAAAAGACGAAACGTTAACACATTTTCATAAGGCTGTCACACTCCTTAATAAGTTTTGATCATATTATGGAAGGTCGATACATTTTTTGTCGTTTAAAGACAATCTTACTTAACAACTCCATGTGTATGATGTCTAAATACATTAGGAGTAGAACTTTATAGTACAGTATCTGTAGAAGAAAAGTGACACAACTCGTGTGAAACCCACGTCGCATCCGAAGAAATATTTGACACTTTATTCAAGTGTTTCTCTTTTATCTGAGAATGAAACTTTCACCCGTCTACAATGAAAACGTCATCCAAAAAGATGCTCACATTCGTTTACACTACTAGTATCTATTCAATCCTCATATACGGGATCATCTATTTGCCTTCGGATCAGAATTATTAACGGGAACGGTCACGGCAGTTATCGTTCGTATGTACTAGTATATCTTATGACAGCGAGTCTGATATTACAGCATGATGTACACTGATGCCCGAGTGAATCGCTCGTATTGATGATGTCAATGGCAATGTCACCCGGTTCCACTATACTGACGTCACTCTCTCTACGTCACCGCACGGCCCGTCAATTCCACCCTGGTCAGCTGCAGGCTTCTCCATTGCAGGCGCTCCTGGAAATGACAAAGGAACCACAGATGTAATTGAACCATGCGTAAAGGTAGTGTATGTGTCTTAAATTTTATGTCTGTACGTTTTTGTTTTGTATGATACATGAATAGATGTTGGTGGCAAAATGGTAAGAATGTTGACATCTACTTATCAAGCATATACAATATGGATAACGTAATATGATAGATATTTTCCCAGCTCTGAGGATCCACACACCTTCAACCAGCTCTTTGGTGTCCACGCCGAGGTCCTCTTTAATCCACCTGGACACGACCGTGTACACCACACAGGTGAACAGGCACACGCCTGCGTAGACCCGGAACAGAACAACTCCGCCGTACCGATCGAAAAGAGCGCCCCCTATCAGCGATCCAGACGCCCAACCTGCGGAAGGAACCGAAATCAAAGTCACAAAACTAAGTTAAGTTGCTGCAAAAAAATAGTACAAACTGGTAAAAAAAAACTTGATTGATTTGCCAGAGCATTTCACAGTCCACAGGGGGCCACAGAGTGACAGATCTGTAACCACGATACCAATTATTTGGCATCCAAAGCAGTTTGGTAGTGACTTAAAAAGCTCTGGAATATGCTGACACTGGAACATGCTGCATGTCTAACCTACATCAACATATTTAAGACTACAAACGGAACTATCGCACGTGTTCTTACCTGCACGTGCTCATTGCTAAATTTGTAAGTTGGTACGAGAGGACGACACCTACCCACACCCATGAAGACGGCTCCCATGACACCCTGCATCGTCGCCTCCATGCCTGGCGGGGCGATCTGACTGGCGTAGGTGGTGGAGGCAGCAAACATGGCGCCGTACGTGGTGCCGTGCAGAACCTCCACCGGGATGGCCCACCACGGGTCCACCAGCAGAGACAGGAGCAGAAAGCGCAGAGCAAAGAAGAACAGGGCGACTGTGAAAACACCTTTGTGGCTGATCTTCTCAATAAGTTTACCCGAAAAGAAGAAAAACGGTACTTCTGCAATGCAATTAACAGTCAAACATAGACCTAACAGAAGCTGACTTCCTCCAAGGTCTTTTAAAAACCAGAAGGCAAAAGTTTCCAAGACGCCAAACGATGACCCCAAAACGAACAAAACTGACAGAAAGACAATTACGTTTTTCTTACATATCAGTTGCCTGATGTGATGTGCCATATTATGTTGTTCAGATTGGTTCCATGATTTAAACGTGAAGCCAACCAATAACAAGGTAACCATGCCGAAAGCCGCAAAGCTGTAGAATGCAAAGTCATAGTTGGACTGGCCGTTTTCGTCTCCCAGAAGGTCCGTAGAAAACCCAGAAACCGTCGCAAAGATGCCCCAGCCGATGGAGCCCCAGAGACGCTGCCGCCCGTACCCTTCCGTCTTCTCCTCACCCAGGGTCTGCATCGTGTAGGCATCAGACTGGGTTAGCACTGACGCGTGTATGGACAGCCCGGGAACAAGCAGCAAGAACAGCAACCAAAACGTCAACGTCCAACCCCCACCTATTTCACTGTCTCCCTCCTGAGTGCTGTCACATGTTGCCTCGGTACATTGACATACAGAACAACCATCTGTTAAGGTTTCGTTTCTTGGACAGCACATGTACAGACCAGTCAAATTTACAGCCAGTTCTGCGCTACTTAAGCAGGTAATTTGTTCTGTAATGTTATCTGCGGTGAAATGATTTGCTCCGCTCATATATTTACTAGAATTGCATGAAGGTATATCTAAGGTTCCTGGCACGTTTTGCCCTAATACGCAAGTTTTCCTGAGAGTCGTAGGCAAGCTTATTGTTTCAAGAGTGTAAGGGGTGCAGTTGAACTCGTCATTTGACATTAAAGTTGACGTCTGCACAGGAGGAACAAAGTAGGAGCAGAAAAGGAATGTGAGGCAGAGAAAGATAGACACAAGCAGCACTTGTTTATGTTTGTCCAGCCTGTCCGCCACGAACCCCAGGATGGGTTTGAAGAGGAAACCTGCGAACGGCTGCGCCCCGCTGATGAGCCCGGCCTGGTAGGCGGGGACGCCGAGATGGCGGATGTACACGGGGATGTACGGCCACAGACACGAGCTGGCTGCAGCGTAAAAAAGATGGAGAACAAACATGTTGTATAATCGTCTGTTACCAGTAGCCTGAGTGCCATCCTAGACTAGATAGGATATCACCCAGACTAGAATAACTCCCTTTATAGCATCCAGACAGCGGAACAGCTAGAGGATCAGCTAAGTATAACAGAGAGCCCAATACTAGTATGTAATAGTTCACTCAATACAGGTGTGTTTTGCCACAAGCTCATCAAGCTTCTCGGGTCGATTCCATCTCCTATCAAACCCATTAAGATTAACGCACTGTATGCACACCCACATCGACGCGTGACGGACATGACGACATAGTCATCCACGAAACACGCCACATTAATGACAGTTCGGAGACTCCTGGGCTCAAATACTGTGCAGAAGTCAAGAAATCTGATTCACTTGATCTACCTGAGCACAATAGTTTGTATTCATTCATCTATCTCACCTGAATGGAAGAAGAAGTAGAAGCCTTTGACAGGTAGAAGTCGCCTGTTCACCTCGCACGCCGGGAGAGGCAGACGCCGGTTTGCCGGACTTTCTGCAGAATCCGTGCAGGTCATGTTGTCTGCAGAAGGAGAAGAGTTTATCGCAAACTGACGACGGTCTTGTTTGTGTTGTGTTAACTTTCCATTAGGGTAATAGAAACATGAAATATGTGTATTATCTGCATGAGTTGCTTCAAACAAAATTTCCCAACACGCGCTTTGTACTTTGAACCTTGCCCCGTTACCCAACATTAGTTGATGATTACTCTCTTGACGGTCATAAAAATCATGACCCCATGCTACCCAGAAGAGTTTTATGATAGGTTATATCATTGCCATATGAAACTGCTGCATGCATTAGTCTCTCATAGAACAATGCCGTCTATGTACTTTTCTCACTATTAGACATGCGGTGCACATGACATACTACAACACGATTATCTACAAAATGGCACAAGTGAAAATATTATGACAAAATGCTATTGTCCAGTTGTCCTAGCTTAATAAATGAGAGCGCACCTTGAGTTGAAAGTACCAGAGCTGTTGTCTAACTGTTGGTTGCATATTCTGCCTTCAATACAGTCAGTGGCCAAACCGATGTAGGGTATGACTGGGTGATATCATGTGACCGGTTATATAACAAACTGTGGCACAGATGAGACTTTGATCTTAACTTTCCTGGGACTTGAGCATATCCGTAGCATGGTACCAAACATATCTGTAGCCTGAGCTCTGCTTCATATCTGTAAGTATCAACATGAAGACGACGTTCCTTGATTTATTTGTTGATTTTAAAAATGACGAATGTGACCGCGCGTCACCTGGAGTTAGTGCAGTTCGTAACTGTTGCGCTAGGTGCATGGCTGTATGTGTCCAAAACCACATCAATTACTCACTGAGAACAAAACTGTATAGATAACGGAACGTCAACAAAAGTGTGAAAATATTATTTCCTGAAGAAAGGCAGATGTGCTAGGTAATGACGTTTGGTTAAATGTATTGTGTGCATCAATGGCTCCTTGTTTATATCTCTACATCTATGTTCTGTAAGATAAGTGAGTAGAAAGTATAAGCCAAACATGTTTTCATATATTTTTAGTGTATTTCTTATTGTCCTCTATGTACAAACAAGAAACGATTATATTACCACGGCTTTACTTAATATATATACCCTTCTTTGATTACCTCGAATACTAGTATATAATGTCTCTCCAAGATAACAGAGCGACGTAGATTAATGTACGCAATGCACTATATACTATACTTTCAGATTCTTTCCCAGCATTCACCACAATGAACTTGGAAAGAAAATTTAAATACATATTGACTTGTGACAACCCCTACATGCTATACATAGGGATATATATTAAAGACTGTATGGATATTAGAAACGATTGTATAAGTTGATACCTATCTCATACTAGCCACCCACTTTTGTATTAGATTAGCCTTATGAAAATGTAGTTGACATGTATTTACTTACGTTAGTAGATGCCATACTTTGTACACTGTACAATTGTTGCGCAATAAAGTTATATATTTCTATCAAACAACTCAAAATAATGCGGTCGCTCCGCACGTACGTATCCTACTTTGAAGCACTCTGTTAAAGGAGAATCGAGACATGTACATTTGAGCAAGCTCGGTGAACAATCATAGCAATTACGTGTTTAGTATTCTTGTATTAAGTTTGGCCACCTGCAGCAAGAGTTTCCCTTTTATCTAACCGGAGCGGATACCACACGAGTAGGATTTCTTTATTCGGAGGTCACACCTATATCTACCAGGTCACGATAAGTGTGCAGACGTGACCTGTTCATGCTTGAGGAGTCATCGCCCAGCCCTGGTCGCGCGGTGCCTGCACGTCAGATGGTGTAGGGTTCTGCCGTGGACTCGCAGCTGTGTTTGCTAGCGCTTGTATGTGTCTGAGATCCAGGCGCGCTGGTCCTGAACTTCTCTGTTGTGTATCCAACACTGTTCACCATACCTCCGTGGACGGGGGGCGTGAAAACAGGTCATTTCCATCCTAGGCTTAATCTTCATTTGACTGACTTTTACTCTCATGGCCCAGCCAATAAACTGATGGTGAATAGGCATCAATATTGATGAGGCATTACGACTGCTTTATTAGCCACATACGAACCGTTATCTTTTAACCACTGCCTTTAAATATGTGTGTTATGGATCTATGGTGACGACTTTAGGACAACACCGTTTCAACGATGATGTTTTCCTGTTGGTTGTAGGGCATAGAACATCCTTTTTTGGAGGTCAGCGATTGGCGATGTAAGTTAGCAACATCTTAAATCGCATCGGTACCCTAAATTTCAGCATCATAAGGATACTATTGATTACTATTTGTCGAAAAGCCAGCGAACAAGGAACTCTGCGTCCCGGTTCTTAAGGGGAAGTACCTCCTTGTCCGGAACACTCAAGACCATTATTGGAATCCCATTAGACTGGTGTTTAATCAATGATTAAGTTGAGATTGTTTACACCCTTATCCATCAACCCATTGCCCTGCTGCTTAGCAGCCCAATGCTGGCCTGCCAGGTTACTGTTTGTGTAGCAGGACATTGGAGAACTGCTTGAGCGCCCGGCGTGGTGGGGTTTGATTTCTGGCCCCGTGCCAGGGTCGTGTGACGTTGTTATTGCTCCCTCCCATTACTGCAATGAATGGCTTGTTTAACTACAGTTGTATTCATCATGCGAGCCTCATTCAGTAAAGGCCTTGGTCGCTAAAAGATTTCGGAATTCCCTCTTAAAGCGGTCACTGCACTCAGTGATATGTACACAGCCTTCGCACAGGGTGATCTTGTTTTCGGTAAAATCACGTACACAACAATCGTCATTGCATTCACTCAATAATCAGTTCCTTACGAAAGTGTGTTTAACAACTAGTGCCAATGGTGTTGTCTGTACTGAAATCTAAATTTGTGCAGCCACGCTAATGAAATTGCTGACTCTTCATGCACGTATATACATTTATTACAAAGCACACCTTCGCATATACGTATAACTTAAAACATACAATTATATCATCACATCTAGCGCAAAGTATCCACATTCCTTGAGCCAACAGCAACGTTAACAATATACAAGTTGATAAGAATATAGTTCTAACAAAGTGCGTCATTCATAATTATATATCCAATCTTCGACAATATGATTACATCAATACCTATATAGCAACGTGGTTTTACTTATACCCTGCTTTTGAACGATCTGACAAAATAGATTACAATGTACCGATTTGTGCAGCACACTTGTGTAGCCTCTCTACTCTAGCACTCTCTACAAGCACCGTAACATCAAACAACTCAGCATAACGTGGTGCCTCGCACGTACGCAACATGCACGGGGGACGTACAAGCAAGCTCGTGAGCGAACAATCAGAGAAATCAGGCTATCTCTACCGTGGGAACAAACATTGCTACCAAGGGCCACAATTTGTCACCACTCCCTTTACAAGAGGTAGGCAGTGCATACATTGTTGGCGGTGGCCGTCTGTACTTGGTCAACACACCGACAAGCAATTACGGAAGATAAATTATTTCTTCAAGGCTGGCTTTCACCCAAATAAACAACCTTCAAAGCATGTCTGAAATGGTATGCATAGATTAAATTATATGTACCGTGAAGAAAATATAAAGATGCAGTGTGCCTGTTTTATGATTAAATTTTCATGAAAACGACACAGACAAAACAAGAGCCTTTAAGTTACATCATCATACACACAGGTGACTTACTACATTGGCATGGCGCCAACTATCAATGGATGACGCCATACCTGGTGTACGTTCAAAACACGCACGGCGTTGTTTGATGTCAACAAATCCCCTGGTCAATTTTCCTCGGTCTTTTTAAATTTAAAACGTGCACAATGCATTTTTACCACAAAAATTGCTGTGATTATGTTTTTTATACTTGTAAATTATCGACTAAATTAGAAAATGTCTATTTGGGGATACGACATCGCAAAACGTGCACGCATCTGTATAAACATGTAGTACAGAATATTTAAACACGAAAGTAAAATATATAGAATATCCCACAACTATGTACAATATCTTTACGTTTGTCCAAAATCTACTAGTGGTCCCGACATGTTGGACCGTTTTTGCCATCCGCCATTACAATGTTTAATATATTGTAAGCAACAACTATAACTGCACAACAGATGATTCCACGTCTCTCAGTCTCTTCGGAAATAAAACATATACAGGTCTTCACAAAATATAGCGATAAACAAAATAGCAGCAACATATATATAGTACAAATATACAGGCTGATTAAGTGATAAAAGAAGCATTCTTACATTGTTTACGAGGACGATGGGCACTAACCACGCAAATGTCAAATGTCCCATCTTGTTCGACCTACTGGATGATTCGGTCGTCCTTGTCCACTGGAAGAGTAAGTAAGACTGACTGTCATTGCTGCTTATTCACCATGGACAGGATAGTGTGGATTCCTAGCATCTCATTGAAGTTGGACTGCACCACGTTGTCGAACTGTCCCTGGTAATCCACCTCGTAGCCCTTGTACTGTGACGGGATCGGGCTCTTCTTCACGCGTTTCTCGTGTTTTGGGTGGGCGTCGGATGCGTCGCCGCCGGCTGTGTGGTCGACGTCACCGTCGGCGAAAAAGACCTGGTCGCCGTCTACGACGATGCCCGGTGGAAAGTCGGCCACCCCCTCTGAACTCAGTGACAGTTTTGCCATATTTTCCTCCGCCGACGACACGGAATCCTTGCTACCTCTGGTGCTGTTGGTTTTGGAAGAAGCCAGACTGGCTTGCGATCCTCTTGGAGACTTCTTGAGATTGTCCAACGATCCCGTTTTGTTGCCTTTCTGTTTCGCCACCCGGTTCTGTGTCGGCATAGAATTCACCCGAGGTCGTGGCTCCGCGTTAGCGTTGGCCCCCTTGCCTCTCTCCAGGGCCATCCGCCGAAGGTCGGTCTCCACCTCGGAGTGGGTGCTGGCCCGAGTGCGTCTCGGAGGCGCCGGGCTGCTGGATGTGGAGCTGGGGGACCGGGTTGGAGACGAGAGTTGGGATTTCTTGTTCGGCACGGCGAGCGGCTTGCTCTCCGAAACGGACCTGTTCAGCTTCCTGGCCGCCGACGTGGGCATGCTGTGCAGGACGCCAGGCTCGCTGTTGACCTTGGCGGCGTCGGCTAACATCCTCGGCGCAGGTGGCGGGGACAGCGAGCCGTTCACCTGACCCTGGCCCTTCGGCTTCCGTACGAGCCGAGGACTGGCATAGTGGCTGGGGAAACTCTTGGGGTTCGGTCTCTTCACGCCGTAGTCGGTCCGATCCATGACGCTTGTGCCCATGCGAAAGTTGTACTCCTCTCTGAGACGCTCCAGTCGTTCCTTTCTCTCGCGCTCCTTCTGATCCTTCTCCTCTTGTTTTAGCCTCTCGACCTCGGTCTTCAGACTCTGTGTGCTGTTGGACCTCACCAACATCTTTTCATTGGGCCCCATCACAGACATGTTTGTTATTCAATAAATCAACCGGTCCGTTGACGAAATCAGGAACTCTTGAGGGGCGACAAACGTTTACGTTCGCAAATCAAACCCAAACAACCCACTGGACTCGGCTCTCTGCGTCCCGGCCAAGTGCAATGCTACCTGATCAACCGCGCACAAAGCAATAATACAGTGGGTATTTGGTACACAGGGAATCGGGTTCTTTTGGACTTTGTTTTGAACCAACTCCACACCACGTGCTGATCCTCACGACAGGTAAAATTACCGTATCGGTAACACTTTCCGTCGTAAACACCTTTGTCTCGGCCAGAAGTGGGAGGGGCTTAAGCGGTGTCATTTACTTGTTGCTATTGATCTCCACGGCGCGACAAAGGACGGGCAAATATCCTGTCAAAATAATGTATCGCTCACAAAGGTGTTTTCGCGGTGCCCAGCCTTCCGCTGGCAATACCCTACGCGACCTGTCATCCGTAGCAATAACAGTTGCCCACGAGCTTGAGGTCAACTTGAACACCTGAGTAGGGCGTCATACACTTGTCACTCATAACTTTTCACATCAACGTCGACGTTACAATCTGCACGTACTGTGTGGACATTCGTGTCGTACAAGAAGAGCGATACTTCGAACAGAAAGAGCGTTTTTTGTGAAATTTGTTTTCGCCTCGTTACCTTAACAAGACTGGTGGTGAAAGGGGAGACAAACGGGTGAAAACGTTGGTGAAATGTTGAGCCGTTTGTGTTGTAATGTCGATACCCTTTGTGTAAACACGTGACGCATATTGGTGAGAGTGTCGTCTGACAGCCACGTCTGGTGGCCCACATTTAGCGACTGCACTGTCTGGGGTCACGTGCTGAAGTCCCGCCTTTTCTTTCTTTCCATATGTTCTTTCTATGCAAAAGTGAACCCACTGTAATAGAACACGACCAAGCACACGGCTGCTAGTATCGTTTTAGTCCTTTCTTGGAAGGCAAAGGCTAAGCCTGTCAATAAGAATTTTCATTTCGCTATTAAGCCTGTCAATAAGATTTTTTCCATGTTTGACAAGGAATTATTCCTACTGACAGGGAACAGCCTATCGATAGCCGTTGCCTTCTCAGAACACACTTCGCCGCTGAGTAAACAGGTGTGTTTCCCCCAGCATAGGAGAGAGGGAAATAAAGTGTTTGTACGCGGGTCTGTTTTCGGACAACCTTGAGATGTACAAGAGGGATGTTGTACGTCAGAGCGTAGCTGGCCACTGAAAGACGTACAGGGTGTGAGTGATTTTTCTGTGCATATAGCTTTTTTACGGATTTCCTGTAGTTTTGAATCACTTCTCGCTCCATCATTGGAATTAAAAATGGCAATGCTATGGGGGATATGCTCCTATTAACTCTAAAAGACAAAGCTACTTTTTTACATTCGTCATACCAACCCCTTGGATTGGACTTCAGCCAGGGCTTATCACAATCAGGTTATCAAACTCCTGTTACAAATAGCACAGCCTTGGCATTGGCGGGTCTGGTAATGACTCATTGATTAAATGGACCTGGGCTTCATAATATTTACTCTCCCAGGTCAGGTTACGGTTGGGACCAATTAATTATTAGTTAGTTCACACTGACCCATTGACACACTGGGTAGGTTTGTTCTGTACATGTATATACTTAAGATGGGGGGTGGGGTGGCACTGTAGTATTTCTATTCTATTCAATAGCTCATTTCTCCACATATACATACACATGTAGATGAAATGGAAAATGTCAGACTTCCCTCCCTATTTGACTAGTTTATAGTTTGAAACATTTGCCCCAAACAGTCTTAACCAGTAATGGACTTCACCATATAATCATGAAAAATCCCTCTATAAAAGAAACAGCAAAAACCCCTGTACCAATAGGTCATTTCTTTTATTAATTGCAAGTGACAAGAAAATTTTGTGCATACCAATCAGGAATGATCAATCAATGCCGTACTGCAGACTGTGTTTCTGTGTAGAGCACAGACAGACATCCTGGACACAAGATCTGCCATCCTGGGCACAAGACCTGTCATGTGACCCAGTCTACTGACATGGCCTCCAACAACAATATACCATATATGGGAAAGAAAACACCATACTTATGACTGGTCATTTCCTTGAAATGTCATGTCTTGCTTAGAACAATCATGTGTCTTATTTTCTTCTTCAGTGGCTAAGTCTGGAAGGTGCACAATACATTTTTCAAGGAGATTCTCAACAACTCACGCACGTGCAATGAACAAAATCGCTAGACAGGTGCAAAAATTAAGGGAAAATGCACACTAAGCATCTATGAGTACACCATGTTTGTCATGTTTCCCAATGCAAAAATTAAATTTAAATAGATAACTATTTACAGAACGCAAATTGATATTCTCACCATTTTGATATACATAACCAACCATTCACCCCTATATCAATATACAATATGTGTAAACATCATATAACTTAGTAACAAAAGAGCTTGATTGTCTTTATAGACTGTCCTAGGGCATACACAAACAACCAGCCTATCATAGAGCATTCTGGGAAAAGGCATTTTTCAAAAATGTTGTAGAAAAATGAGGATACCGTATTTTTAACCAGATGGATGCTGTTTATAAACTCCTGTCATGGCACAACACAAACATCCACCTTTGACTTGATAAATTCTCCTGTTTATAAGTCCCTCCTCCCCAGCATGCTCTAAGATGCACCTGGTGTGGATAAAAAGCATCAAAAATTTCTATACACGTTCAACTTTAACAACAATACGTTATGAATTGAGGCTTGCAGCTAGAAGCAGCTGTACAACAACAGTGTGCTGCACACGTTTCTGCAGTGTGCAACAACAACTGCCTTGGATGACGTCAATGTCAACACTATGTCATGATATAAATCTTCACAACGAACCCGCTAATTTATGAAACTGACACAAAAAAATAGTTAAATGAAGTGGAACACATCCCCTCACCCCTCCCCTATATCTGGCACAGTTTAACATGGCCCACATAAATCCAAGCACGGGTACATAGGAACAGTATTGTACATATCTTACATGTACACATACACAGAACTACCTTACCACCCAAACCAAACATTCCTCAACAAAGAGGACAAAGATTCCCGAGGGATTCTTGATAAACCTTGTGGAAAGCTTATCAAGTACTTGTTTCTACCTTCCATTTCTACCAATATATTGTCCATTTTTGTTAATACATGTATGTTTTTTTTCATGTTAACACCACTGAACCTACACTGAAAATCTGGTCTGTCCTTGACGTCTACAAGGATGGCCAGAAATTTTGCTACACGACTTCGTTATGCATATTTATGTATCTGCATATGAGTACGATGTCTTGTTATCGAAGCACCACTGTATGAGCCTGACTGAACAGTTCTTGCTGAAGACAAGAGTTGTCTTTGTTGTCATGACAACCACGAGGACACACACATACCTGTACGGTTAGGCAAACATGTACAGGGAGTTAAGTAAGGTCTGACATGTGAAGTGAGTCAACTGGGGCCGCACGGACAATTTCCTAAGGAATTGTTGGAAATATGCAGCAGTGAATGTTATAATTTCTATGGTCAGTTCACAGTCATGTGGATAAACAAGCAACGTTAGTAGGATATTTTTATTGTCACTCTCTCTTTGCTTTATAGACAACCAGTATCTATTGCTAAACCGTGACCTGAGTAAGGTAGTCTTCTGTTACAGTACTACCTACATGTTTTAACAGACTAATATGGAGACTGATTCTTTGGGTTTTTGATTAAAACAGGTCGGGCTGGAAGTGGTAAAATGCAGACTAAAATTCAACTACAATCAATTCAATTTTCCATATTCAGTGGTGTTCATACTTCATTCTCTTGCGTAAAAATCTGATAAACAGTGGCTTAGTCTCCATCCATGAAAACAAACCAATAACTAGTGAAACATGAGGACTAACATCAGTAGTTAGTGCCCTTTTTCATGAAGACATTCTCCAGAGCTTTCAATGGTCCAGTGACACAACTCTTAACAACACCAACTGGTTATATAAGAATTCCTGATGAGATATAGGAAACAAAAAGCACCGCAGTGTGAACCCTCAACAATCACAACGTGTTCAACATGATAAATGCAGATGTAGGCTTTTGTGGTACATTGTATGCACAGGTTTCCAAGACATGATACTGAGAAAAGTATACCATGAAATCCCTGGCATTACTGTGTTTATTTTGGACTAGTGAATTAGCTAAAAGATCCTGCTAAAATGTGCCAAATGAAGACAACAAAAGACAAGATGATTGGCAATCGTCCACACCATCCAGTTCCAATATTCAACAACCAAGTGAAAGTCAGCCCAAGTGTTCGTGGTGCATCTAAAGAGTTGTGTAGCTGCACATCAGCTCAAATGGAACACTAGTTTGGAAGCGGGGAAGTGGCAAGTACATGATGAATCTTTCCACAAAACATCACCTGCTAAACATCATCAATCCCTTTCATCCTTCATATGAAGTACTGACAAAAGACCCACTGAAGGGGGAACTATTTGGCCATTAGTCTGTGGGCGGTGGGGGAGTAGGGGGCATATCTGGTGCCCACAGCAGGGCTGCCTCCAGCCACGGGGGTGTTTGTGGATGTGGGAGGTACAGACTTCACCTCCTTGTTGTTTACTGTAGCGTTGATTTCTAGACCATCTAGTTTCTTCCACAGCTCCTCTCTCTCCTTCTCTTTCTTCCTCTCTCTGGAAGAAACAACATCATGTGTCGATTGTAAAAGAGCAAGTTCCCTCAAATACTGCTAGAGAAAATGTCTGAATGTCTATAGTTTCAAGACTGAAGACTGCAATAAAAAAAAAACAGGGCCATTAAATGATTCTGTAGGATTAAAACACTCACTTTTGTCTCTCTGCCTTGTAGTTGGCTGTCAGCTCATCAAATAACTTGCTGTTCATCTCCATAAATGTCTTGAGGACATTATAGACCAGAGCCACGATGGTCCTGAGAAAAGGAGGGTGGATGTCATTGGTGTTCGGTGTATTCTGGACACAGTTCATATGTAACTTATGTGAGTAGAAAGTGGAAGCTTATGATGACTTTTTTTGATTAAAACATTAAAACAATCTGAAAGTTTACTTCAGTCATATATAACTATATTAAGATCAAAGCATGAAGGAATGGCATTAATAAAATGCCAGACAGACAAGTAGAGCATTAAGTTCATGTAGTTAAGGAGACACTCACTGGTTCCAGTGCTCCTTGGAGATGCGATAAAGGTTTGGGAACATGATGGGCATGATAACGTTGGAGTTTTCCTCGATTAAGCTCATCACGTACTCGTTGTTCCAGAAGTACAGCGCTCTTTCTGCAACCTGTGGAATAAAAGTTAATTAACCATATTAGCTATAAAAAATTCCACACCATTTGGTGCATAGGATCTCTGTTTATATAGTCCTTGGGTGCACAGGCCCAATACATATAGAATACAACACGGGGTATTCCGTATCGACGGCCATGGGCCGTCGGGCGATCCGACTCACGGGAGGGCCGGGACCGAGGGCGATGCGGAATACACCGTGTTGTATTTTATTTATGTCATACCCACCCAAGAAAACACGCCTTTCAATGCAAGATGAGCCAAAAGTTGGTGCCCCTAAACCCTCAAATGCAACAACATCAATTCCAACGTTCGGATTCTGTATTTAAATTTTCGAAAGCGGCCCACGCGGTTAGGGCGAAATGCATTCGAATTGTTCTATGGAAGCCATGGAGCCCGGGCCGAACCGTAAAGTACGGCCCGGTCCGGAACCCGTTATCGAACATAATCGCAGCCCAGGTATGATATAAATAACTGTTATACAGTAGGGCCTTAGTCCACCGATACATGTTGGTCATTAAAAAAAACAGTGTCTGTGCCAGTTTCAAGTCCACTTTTTCCCTTTCATGGACTGTCTTTCCATCACATGGATAGAATCAGCTCTATCGCAATCTCCATTAGATTACTGCATTCGCTGCACTTAAATTGTGTGTGAAGAGCATACAGCACTACAGCACTCTTTGGGAAACAGCAACCAAAGGAAACAGCGCCCCCTGTTGACTTTACACAGAGCTGCATGTGGAGCCTACCTGGAAGTGAGGACTGGACACACACTTGGAGATCTGTTTGAACAGTGGCTCCTGTATCCTAACAAACTGGGAGGGTTCAATCACATCCAGGATTTCTTCTATCTCTCCCAAGAACATCACCTGGAGTACAAACAGATGGGTTAGCAATGGTGGTGGTCCAAGAGCCATCATGTATTATGACCAAACAGATTATAACTCCCTATTCAGAGATGTACAAATGTAGTATCGGCACCTCATATATACATTTGTAGTTAAAATCATTTCAGCATATGGGGGCAGTGTTCATCTCCATTTCTATAGACCTTGGGCCACACAGGCCACTACAGTAGGGGGCTAATCCAGTGGCAGTGGAGTGTGTTTAACTCCCATACCCTTTATTGCTGGTTACTAAGCAGAGAAAGCAGTACATGTATTTGGTTTTTGGTATGACCTGGCCAGGATTAAAGCCCCTGACCTTCAAATGACATTTTATATCTCTATTTTTTTTTTAAATCTTGAACATATTGTAACAGATATGACTCCTACCTCTTACAGTCCAACAGTAAACTATATACTACAATCAATCAGATTACCAGCATACTGGTTCCACATGTACCAAGAAGAGGAAATCTCACCTCCTTCTGACTACACGTCTTGGGCCAGAACTTGAGCAAGCCTCGTACGACAGGCTCTGTTAACGTGGCATCCTTCTCCAGAAACTGAACCACGCAGTAAGCCAGCTGCGTAAAGAAGGCAGACTGAGTTGTGGTAGAAACAAATAGGAAGTCAATCAGGAAGGATAGGAAAGAAAGGTCTGAAAGAAAACTGAAACAAGAAGATAAAGACAGAGAGAACTGTGAGAAAGAAAAGTCAAGGGAAAACAATAGTTGCACTCAAGGAATATTAATCAAGTTAAAGAATTGGGGGTAAAAATATATGCGAAACAGAAGCTGAAGGTTAAATCATATGTGAAGAGTAATTCATTCATTTATGCAAGAACTCATGACAAGACTGATGATTTCTGTTAATTGCATAATCATTTAAACAGCAAAGTTAAAATTACAATAATCAGGTTTAATAAAATTTTCATTGAATGAAATACATGTAAGCATGTGTAAGTTAAGTAAATTATAGTATACATCTACGAATTTTAAGACTACACAAGAAAATCTCACCAAACTGCTTTCCATGCATTTTTACATGGAAACAATCTTTAATAATACTGTGACTACATGTAGGTCCTGTCCACATATTTCAACATGGATTAGTTCAGCTATTAGGCATTCACCAGATCTAAAAGACTGCCTGTGTTCAAAGACTCACTGCCAAAGGTCAGGGTGGATTCTATGGTAATTCTTCCAGCGTAATGAGCTGAACTGAATCCACAGCTAAGGCTAAGTGCTGTTCAGTGCCACGTTAAGCTGCACATTGCTATGCATGCTACACAAAGCTATGGTGCACATTTGAAGACTCCTCACTCACCTGTGCATGATAGAGAGACAGACTCTTGGCCTTGTGCAGGGGGATCAGCACCTTGATCAGGAACTGCTTGTGTTCTGCCTTCAGAGGTAATGCAAAGCCATTGATGATGCTGTAATAATTTAAAAAAAACACATCAGCAAATGTACCTTCCTGGGTGTTGGGTGTTACCGTACATGTATGTGATCGTGAACAGATTTATTTTCTCATGTTACTAGCCTCCTATGCAGACCCCCTGGGTGGCGCGCATTTTCCATGGCTTCCATTAGAACACACAGGTGACCTACCAGAAAACACGAGGGCATATGAGAAAAATAAGTCACTGTAACAGAGAAGAATGTTTGCGCAGGAGGCCATCAAATGTTTTACAGACAGTACATCATCCTTTATCTCCTATTTACAGACTGAGGCTTTGGGGCCAAGTGATAGTAAGATGCTCCAGTGCTGCAGGGCAGACATTACTCCCACCCTATATAGTTTTTAACCCAATTCTGTTTGCACATAAAAGACTTTTCGTGTCCCAAGCAGGTGTTTCAGATGGACATCAAAGTCAGGTTGCCCTCATTTAAGGAAGTTCTGCCCCAGAAAAATTGGCAGTTTGGCACAAACCAGCATGGAAGCCATCAGCACACGATGCATGGAGCTCGAAATATGTACTTAGCCACTAGAACAATGTTGTCATACTTCTATAATGACATATTTTATCTACTATGCTGAACATGAAAAAACTTGGGATAACTAATTTTGACAGTCATGTTCATAACAATGAGCTGACACAGTATGTGTGCCTGTGAAAAAAATCAATGAGAGATACACATGACAAAGGTACCAAAAATGGCAATATTTATCATGTGAAATACTGGTTGTTTTGTTTTGTCCTGGTTTAAGTTCAGTTGTACATGTACTTGTCACTGTACACATTGCCAAAATCTGTGTGTTGAATGTTACAAAATACATAGTGAGTTTATGCTAAAAATATGCCAGATGGCTGCTATTTCCACTAGGTGTTCAATCATTCGGTAATCAAAACTTCATGGGTGGTGAACATATTATTTGTTTTCAATACCTTTTGCCCATTCCATACAGATGTTCATGAGAGAACAGAAATACTGTGAAAATGATATAATTTGCCATGCCCCCAATATGCATAGCTCACCAGAGCTTATCAAAATATACTCATGAGAACAGAGTTATCATTCACATCATGCAGCACTCTTCTGCTTGGAGCAAGAAGATCAATAACATTTTGAAAGCCATCATTACTGTAGAAAAAGTCCATATAAGAACACATAAGCCTGATGGCTGCCTGTATCTGATGAAGTAACATTAGTGCTCTCAAAGATTGCTCGCTCAATTTTAGAAATCAAAGCTTCTGACAGCAACTTGTTATCTGTGGAGGCCCGTCACATATTTCCCAAGGTTGAGGATCTACTTGAGCGATTACTCTCGTAATAATGCTCTTTTCAAGCCATCAGCTCCTCCAGTTATTACTTGGAAAGTGAAGGAGTGGTGCGTTTTCTTAAAAGGTAGGCTTTCCCAGATTGAAGCAGGCCTGGGATGCAGTCATGCAGTGGAAGGTCATTTGACAGAACCCAACAGTTTGCATCATATTTAACAGCACCTCAGAACATCCTGCCAAATTCTTGGAAAGATGGTTACTAAGTACATGTACTTATAGTATGTTGATCATTTTGCAGCTACATGAGGCCCAACAGAGGATCTATCAAAGGAGAACGCTGGTGACCTCTGGGTAAGGCAACATAGAGTTTTTTTGATAACGTCTATTATCATTTATCCATCAGATCACATAGATCTTCCACCACGAAAAGACTTAAGAGACCTCTGAAGTAACATCTACCAGTATAATGCACTCCTGCATATCTACACTGTAGATGTTTCAAACACCCTGTTTTTTCAAGGTGGCAGACATAACTTAGCCTCTACCAGGCTTTGGAAGCAGCTGGTCTGGTAGTTTGCAGCACCTGGACTCCTTTAGCAGACCAACTCCCCTGGCATGTTATCTCTCTATTTGGCCAATTTCAACCTTACCTTCCTAGGATTTCCAACAGCTCCCCCACTCCATTGAAATGCTCCGTCTCGTAGATGAATCTAAAGAAAACATAACAAGAGACGGCAATGAGGAAGTGATGCAAAACTATACATGTACCGGTACCATCAAAATATTCCATCTGTCAGCAACAGTACCACAGGTACTAATAATTGGTGGTCTCTATTGATCTCTATTCCTACATTTATCTTAGCTTAGAGAAAGTCCCATGGACATCCTTGAGATACCGAACAGTATAACATGCAGGCATATCTAAGCACTGCTACAAGTACGCAGTCATTATTTACACTATGAGACCCTCTTCAATATGTTTTTTAACACTTACTTAAGAAAGATGTGGTTGATCTGCTTTCTGATGAATGCTCTCAGTCCCAGGAACTTCCCATATATTCTATGGAGGACAGTCTTGAGGAAGTCTCGTTCCCGGGGGTCCTCGCTGTCGAAGAGTTCTAGCAGCTGCAGGGATCACAAAGTGAACATTGCATTAATACTTCAGTGAAACTTTGATGCTGGAAATGGAAATGGAAATTCAATTCAGGCATCTACATCAACAATACATCACAGCACGTACCCAGCACAAGACTCTGGGCAATCACCCTGGCTGATGAGTTGTTGTTACCAAACAATAAGTGGTGGCAAATTCAACTGTCAACAATAACTAGACACCTTTTAACCCATCATCCTAGCCCAGTTGCATTGTGTTATTAGGCATGTTAAGGAGTCATTGTCTTGTAGTATTATACATACACACTTTCATCACAGTATCTTATGAATATTTGGTCAACATTGCATCATAGTGTTGTATACGATTTCTACATGCAATTACATTTCTACATACAATTACTACATGGAGGCTATATGTGTCTTCTAATGCACATTTACAATGCAGTATCCTTGGTCAAATGTCATGTATGGGCAACAACTGTGGCCTACAGCTGGTTAGGGTGAATAGAGGACAAGTACACTCACCTGCAGCACAAACTTCTGGTCTATGTACTTCTTTGCAATGCTGGGTTGGAAGTCTGGAGACTCCAGGAACCGCAAAAAGAACTCATACACTATCTGTAAGGATACATATGGGAGCATGTTAACGCATCAAGTGTGAAATTTTTTTATGAAACCTTATCTCATAGAGTGTAGATAGCTTGCTGTTCAACTGTAAAATAACATAAAAAATCTGCAAACAATGTCAATTTTAGGCTGTTATAGTGTTAAAGCTTGCTACATGAACACCATGCCAATGTTCCAGAGCTAAAATCATTGCTAAAATCTTTCACCCTGCTTTAGCCATTACTAACAGTAACACATAGAGAGCATGCAGGCAGGCAGAGGCTGCAGTACCTGTAGATGAGGCCAGGAGGCCTCCAACGTTGGGTCATCCTCCTCAGGGTCAAACTCTGTGTTCTCGCTGGGAGGCAATGTTCTGAAGATGTTGGAAGCAATCTGAGAGAAAAATGATTGCAATGATAAATCCAAGAGCAAAAGCATAACAGTCTCTAAGATTTCACAAATCAATATATATATTGTGCAATTCTAACTACAAAGATGTGAATTTAGCAATGGAAAATATATTTTACTGGTGTTCAAATCAGAGCTGTTTTCACTTGCACCAGTAACTAATGTTCCAGTACCAGTACCAGTAACTAATTTCAAACCCTGGTAGGCATGCCCTGGCAGTGCTCCATCTCCAACATTACTTCAGCAAGAATCTATCTAAAACCACAGAGGTCTAATTTTATGGATCACATCCTCTGGAAAACCATCTTCTGATGCAAGAGATATGAAAGGAATCTGCTTGTTGGATGATGGGATGTTTGATGAATACCTGGGGTCATTTTTCCAGTTTCATGACAATGTAAACATTACAATAAAGCAGACTGTTGAGAGTGTCCATAAATTTGACTGATTTCTTAATGGCCTTTTACTTGGTGAGCTTTCAATGATCTCAAATTGACAAGAACAAGTTTTAAATCATGTCAAATCACACCAGGTGAGCACGGGTCTGCCTGAAGATGGAGGAAAATTTGCAATGTTACAAGTGTAGCTGGGCAGAACCCTGGTCCTGTTCTTATTTAGATGAGCACATTGCTTTGTAATGTTGACCTAATGTGTATATCTTTAGAAATCATAGTTCATTTCAGCTGGTGAAGGTTACTGCTGTATGATATGTCTTTAAAAATTATGTAAATAAACCATTCAATTAAAAAATATTATCACTTCTTACCATTTTCACTACTTCAGGGTAGACCTGTTCTGTGAGCACACCCCTGCCTGCTGTGATGTAGTCCACCAGCTCGTTCAGACTGGCCCGCTTGATCTCCTTCCCCTTCAGGTCCGACACCGAGTCCATGAAGTCGAAGACGACGGAACATTGCTGCAGCTTCTTGATGAAGAGCTCGTGCTGCTCGGCTGGGGGAGCGTCTGCAGGAGGGAAGCAGGGGGACGGGAATCAGAGGGTTTCCCTGACATGGGTTATCGAGAGGCATGTCTGCAATTTGCCCAAGCACACCTGCTCACACCCCTACTCTTCCCAATGTGTATTGTGCATTGTGTTCTTTACTAGTAACATGCAGGGCTTTGACACTTGATGCTCTTACATACAAATGTATAAAGGGCCGAAGACTAAATGTCCCCTCCAAAGCCAGGAGGAACTGGTCACTGACATGTTGGACAGCTAACAGTTCCCCTTCCAAAAAAAATCTACAGCTAAAAGCCGCCGCTGCAGCAAGCCTCCTTGATCCCACATTTCATCAGTGCCACCCAGTTTCCTTAGAAGCCTTTCACTTTTAATTACACCCTTCCAGCAGCGAGGATTAATCCTCCATCACCCTGCTTCAGTAACATCATCACGTCTTACTGGAGGAAGGCATCATGGAGGAGACGTCCGTCCTACACATGTATCTGTCATGTATCCCAGCAGCGGCACCTGGTAGTGTAGACTATTGTAATTGTATACACATTGGATCAGTCGTCAGGAGTCACCGTAGACAAACCTTACAATGCATATAACTGGGGCAAGTGGCATTTACCTGCTTTACTTTCAGAAAGCTGCTGCAATTGTCAGAATTGAGGTCAGGCCAATACATCAACCGTAACGTATTACAAATTCATGAAGTGGCTGTAGTCTACGGTGTGTCAACAAATATCTATTCAAGGATTAAGTCTTTGGGATGATCAAAGCAAGTGTATTTCATGTAGATGCAGATATATAGCCTTTATTTCAGTGCATGAATTTATCATGTGTGGTCAGAGGCATCAAAACTCAGTGAATAAAAGATGGCTGTGGAGAAATTCTGAGAAAGTGACCTAAACTGTAAATACATCCGTGTGACTGATTTGGGTCACCTGGTCTGGATTGAGCAATCCAATCATAAAGGTTAGGGGCATAATTGTGTAGAAGCCTGAAGACACATTGAGGGGTACCCTGCCATGTGTAACAGAATAATCAGCCTCTCTTGCTACATGTATTTGTAAACCAGACAGATCAGGCCCTGTAAACTGGATGATTGATATAAACATCATCAACTGACCTTCAATTCTTTAATAGTTCCAGCTTATGGGTTGTTATGCCTCAGTTCCAATGAAAACTGTTCCATTTTTCTGATAGTGTGTATGACAAGATTGTATTGGAGGTCAAAATTTATATGCACTACTGCAAGTAAGGACAAAAGGGAAAACAGTAGTTTTATAAACTCTGGAGTCATTCATGTGAACAGAAAAGCAATGTACCACATCACAAAAACATGAGGCTTACATCAAGTGACAGTGTTTAATATATTCTTTTTAATAGCCATCATATGGGTGTCCAAAGTTGGACTCATATACATGTACAAATGTTCTACCTGTGTAATGCTTCTGATGTGCAGCCAAAAGGGCACCAAACCTACTAATCCCATCACAATGCTGACAAACATTTTTGTTAAGTCTCCAGATCAGGATCCAAAATAAATAGCATTGAGGACATTAACATATTTGAGACTGCTGAAGATACCATGACCCCATGGGTTGGCTGACTTCACTGATGCAAAAGTTACACACTTTCTACTCTGCTTTTGGGTAACCAACTTAAAACTACATTGTACAACATTAAGCAGACATCAATTTGCTCTCTTTTTTTTTATTCTTTCATTTTTTTAATCAAACTCCACCACTAGACAGATTAAGCTGCAGAAAAGCATGGCAGCATCTACTTGTGTGCTATTGACCACAGGAAACTGTACAATGATGACTTTTCCTTTTTTACAAAATGTTCACATGACAGCTCTTGGGGCAAACAATCAAAGTTGCAATAAGACATATTTACAAAATGTGCTCTCAGAATCAGTCCCATTAAACAATCTTATGGTCAACATTCTATTGAGTAATTCCCGATAAAATACAAACAGCTTTGTGTGAGTAAACAACCTAAATACAAACTCCTGGTCATGATGATCCCTCAAGCACCTATTATTAAGTATATGAAGAAGAGAAGTTAGAGCTGGAAAGATTCTGAGAGTTAGTTACTAAGCACTGGAAAATATGGAGTTAAGTACATTTGTACTTCTGATGAAGATACATGTCCGTTTAACAGTCTTAGCTAAAGTATCTGTACAGTGAGTGTAAAGCAGAATTTACACAATCAGATTTATACCAAACAGTCTACGTGATGCACCACTTCCCCAACAACAATACAAGGTGAAATTCAAAAGCATGCCACATTCTGGCCTATGCCCTATATACACCTGAACACCTAACAGATTTTGTACACATCTTACATGTACAGACACTTTACAGGGATCTTACAAAGGTACTTTATTGGGCCACAGTTTAACTACTGTGAGATGGTCAAAACCTTGGTCCAAATGGACACTATGAACACATGGCCTTGGGGAATATAGATACTTAATACCAGAGAGTGCATTGTCACTAAATACAACACTAAGTATCAAAATTTGTATTAACATCAAATACTCTTTGTCATCCCAAAATTGCAATGTCTGCTATTCTATGTGCCCCATCTGATGCTAACCATACCAAAACACATTCAGTTCATTTCATGTTACAACACATGGGTTTGCTACTGAAAACATCTGGGTCACACTTAAATCTATTTGGCCATAAGTCTATGGGCTGTCGGTGAATACGGACTGTAGTTTGCACTCCCGTCTCCAGGGGGCGCACTATTTGGAGACATGGGAGGGACAGCCTTGACTGTCTTGCTGTTTGCTGTGCTGCTGATTTCAAGCTTGTCGAGTTTCTTCCACAGCTCCTCTCTTTCTTTTTCCTTCTTCTTCTCCCTGAACAGGAAAAGAGTGGAAATTGTTAACATCACAATCATGACCCTGTTTGGTGCTGTGGCTGACAGAAAGTATCAGGTAGGCAAAGTCAAGAAATGGTTCCAAGTGACACTAATGGGGAGAGTAATAAAATACCATCACAAACAACTAACATAAGACATTAGGCCAAGCAAGTGTCAGGTCAACACTTTTGAGAACCTGATATATCTCCTTAAATACAAATGGTTACTTCAAACATTTAAGAAAACACAGTTCTACTCAACAGCTGCATCATTGAATATACACTCACTTTTGTCTGTCTGCCTTGTAGCTGGCTGTCAGCTCATCAAATAACTTGCTGTTCATCTCCATAAATGTCTTGAGGACGTTATAGACCAGAGCCACGATGGTCCTGAGAAGAAAGACAAAACAAGTTCTACATGATGACTATGTGGCTATCAGTACTACAGCATACTAGTATATCTTTACCCCTACTACATAACACAAAATAAATCAAGTAGCTGGATAAAAATTCTCTGAAGAGCCTGACGTTTCAAATAGTGACTGCGAATGAAGGATAATATCTGAAATGTCTGACTCTTCCATAATCTATCCAGCAGCTTGATTATCAGTTGACAGATGTCTAGCCCTCAGGAATCAACATTGAATCTATTTTGATTACACTTAATATAGGTTTACAATTCTTTTGGGTGATTTGTAATAGAACTCCTTCACCTTCTAGGCAGATTAAAGAGATCTTTTATGATTTCTGCCTAAAACATTGATGCGTTAAAGAGACTAGAAACCAACAGAATGCAACAAAAGGTACTCACTGGTTCCAGTGGTCCTTGGAGATGCGGTACAGGTTTGGGAACATGATGGGCATGATAACGCCAGAGTTTTCCTCGATTAAACTCATCACGTACTCGTTGTTCCAGAAGTACAGTGCTCTTTCTGCAACCTGTGGGATGGAGGAACACATTGATTACAAAAGAAAACCATTTTCTTTCCAAAAACTATGATTTTATTTTCATCATTTTAATAAAGCTGGTACAATAGACAACTACTCTGTGTATTTGCAGGAGGATTTACTTCAGAAGCAAATCAAAAGCTTCCATGTTTAAATCCTAATCTTACTACATGGCTTTCTCTTCTCATTCCCTCTGTTCTTACCTGGAAGTGAGGACTGGACACACACTTGGACATCTGTTTGAAGAGATTCTCCTGTATCCTAACAAACTGGGAGGGTTCAATCACATCCAGGATTTCCTCTATCTCTCCCAGGTACATCACCTGCCAATCACAGAGAGTGTCGGTTATACATGTGCACAACATGGCAGTGTGAAGATGGGATCAAGAGCAGAAACATGAAACCACAGATTTGTAAAATGGTCAGGCCTCAAAATACTTTTTTCTGCATACAGATAACATTAAAAATCACCTAAACCCACAAATTTGACCTATCCCCCCAAAATTATGTTTGAATGTGGGCCTGGTGCCATCATAAATAGCGTAATCTGCTGTGTAACAGGATGCTACTTTGGATGGGTGCAGCTTAGGTGCAGGTAGATATCAGAAACACCTGCACAGCCCCAATTTTACCTCTATCACATGTGCATGTTTTTCAAGCCCTGGAATGGTATACATCAAGGACAACTTCTTAGTGAAAGCAATGCTGCTCACCTCCTTCTGACTACACGTCTTTGGCCAGAACTTGAGCAATCCTAGCACGACAGGCTCTGTTAACGTGGCATCCTTCTCCAGAAACTGAACCACACAGTAGGCCAGCTGTGGGGAGAACACAAACAAGTTAATCAGCTGCAGCAATCAGAAACTACATGTAACTGCTTAAGTCAGAAGACAAAGCATTTCTGAGAATCCTTTTTTGAGAATATAATGTTTAGTACATTCAGGAATTCTGCAAATTCTAAGGGGGCAGGTTTTGGCAGGACTAATGCTATCCTCCAACACAAGCTAGAGGTTCCTGCCCCTTCTTAGGCTACTCTGTCAATTGTTTGTGATTTCAATGTCTGGCAAGGTCTAACCTTCGTGACCTTCTGCCAACTGAAACCACAAACGTTCAACCAAATTTGAAACTCGGCCAGAACCTTCTTTGTCATTTACATTCTTCTTTTTCTTTCTGAAAAGCAATTTGCACGAAAATGT